TCCCTCCTGGCGGCCCCCTCCCCTCCCGAGGCGCCACCCCTGACGACCCCACCACTGCAGGACACGTTCACGCGGGCCAAGAACTGGGTGAAGGAGCTGCAGCGACAGGCCAGCCCCAGCATCGTGATCGCACTGGCAGGGAACAAGGCCGACCTGGCCAGCAAGCGGGCCGTGGAGTTCCAGGTGGGGCGGCTGTGCATAGGGGAGGCGAGCTTTGGAAGTCCAGAAGTGCTTTTCTGGGTGCACCCATGGGGGTGGGGTGGCTTGGCCCCTCCCTCTGAAGGCCCAGTGCACGTGTGTAGGTCCCATCGCACCCAGTGTGCCCCATCCCTGGGGTGTGAGTCGCAGCAGGGGTGGCCAAACCTGGGAGGCTGGTGCTGGGGTCGGATGTGGGAGCACCCAGCCCCCCGGACCCTGGTGACAAGGTTGGTGTGGGGGAGCTGAGTGGGACTTGGGCCGAGACATGTGGGAGCCCTGGTCCTGGGTCTCATGCTGCGTGTCCCTCCTGCCAGGATGCACAAGCCTACGCAGAGGACAACAGCCTGCTGTTCATGGAGACCTCCGCCAAGACTGCCATGAACGTGAACGAGATCTTCATGGCCATAGGTGAGCGCGCGGGGCTCCCCAGGACTCTGTGTCTAGCGTGCTGGTGGCAGGGCCGTTCCTCACACCTGAGTCAGGCAGCGTGCCAGGCCCGGCCAGTGTCAGCCAGCGTGCTCTGGCCTCCCTGCCCCTTCTTAGTGTCTGCTGGGTTCAAATTCTGGCCCGTCTGTGCCCAGCTTCTGTGTGGAGTCCTGGTGGGGTGGTGAGGGCCCACTACACCCACGGGAGAAGAAGCCCACAGACACTTCCTTCCCTCACAGCCAAGAAGCTGCCCAAGAATGAGCCTCAGAATGCCGCAGGCATGCTGGGGCGGAACCGAGGCGTGGACCTGCAGGAGAGCAGCCCGGCCAGCCGGGGCCAGTGCTGCAGCAACTGAGCCCCTGCACAGCCCTCACCCTGACCATGACCGCCGGAATCCATGCTAACCAATCGCACTTAACTCCGCCGCGGGCCGCGGGCCAGGAGGCTCGTGATTTCCCCACCTGACTGATCTGGGCCGGGGAGTTGATCCACCTGCACCTTCTGTACAAATACTAATTCAATTTGAAGTCTTATGTCACTTTTTTAATATATGTGATCTCTGCTCTCCCCTCCCCCTTTGTCCCGCTCTGCGCTGGTCCTTCAGGAACAGCCTATGCTCCTGTCCCGCCTGCCTGTAGGGCAGGGGGGAGCGGGGACCCCTCTGTGTCACTTGCCAGAGGGCGGACTCAGAGCAGCCATGTCCTCACCTCGGGAGCAGCCCCCCTGGGCAGCTCTCCCTGGGGTGCTGCCCCCACTGGCCAGCTCTGGGCGTGAGGGGACCACAGCATTAGCGCCGTGTCCGTGGGACAGCTGCACACCATGGCCATGGTGCGCCCCGCCCCGTCACCCTGACCTCTGCTCTGAGCCCTGTTCTGACCAAATCATGATGGGTATTGGGGGGTAGGGGCACAGGAGGGGACGGAACCAACTTTTTCTGTATTTTGTACTGTATGTTTCTTCAACATGTGACCAATCAGTATCTTGTCAATATAGTCAGCCAATGGATGGACCTCACCCGCGTTTTCTTTCTCCGGCAGTCTGCCAGACCCTGGCCTCTCTAGGCCACCAACCACAACTCATGCAGCATGCGCTTTCCCTGCTGGGCGAGAGGCTGGTAGCCATGGTAACCGGGAGACAAGGCCTGAGTTACAGCTCTATTGGGGGCCGATCTGGGGCCACCACACTTGAGGTTGCCCTTCTCCACCCTGGCCCCTGCCCCCACCAGCTTACACTGTGGGTGTGGTGTGTAAAATGATCTCCATGCGTTCTGTGGTTTTGAGGCAGGACCTCACTCTAGCCTAGGCTGACTTCAAATCTGCAGTGCTCGTCCTGCCTCAGCCTCCTAAGTGCTGGGGTTGCAGGTGTGTGCCACCACACCTGGCGTTCTGTGTAGGGTTGGCAGGTCTGTACCAGGCCATGCTGGAAGCAGGAGACTGCTGACCTCTCCCGGGATGTTGGCCTGGTCGTGCAGCCAAGGCCTGGCACTCGGCGCTGTCACCATGCAGGCAGCCCCACAGGGTCTTCCTGCCCCTGCGCTCCTGCTGGCCGGGTCAGGTGATGGCCCTTCCACCTCTGCTGCTCCCTTCCTGAGTCACTGCTGGCCAGGAAAGCCCCACCCCATCCTGGTTTCTGATTCTGGGGGGACCCTGACCTTGGTGCCTTTCCTGCCTTCCTCCACCCTTTTCTGTGGAGGGTTATTAGGTCTCAAACCTGGGGCGTTGTAGCAATGAGCCACATCCCCAGCCTTTTTTACTGTTTATTCTGAGACAGGGTCTCACTAAATTGCCCCGGCTGGCCCTGAATTCGTGATTGTCCCGCCTCAGCTTCTCCAGTGGCAGGGATTCAGATGTGTGCTGCCGGTTCCAACCCTCCACCTTTGCACCGGCCCCAGAAGACAGCAGACGCGGGCTGCTGCACATGGTGGCTGTTTACTGGCTAAGGCGGGGCGCGAGCCCTTCTTGGAGCCCTGGCGAGTGAGGCTCGGGGATGAGCCCGGTGGGGCTTCGGGTAGAGGCAGTGGCCTGCATGGGCTTCGCACCCACAGCTCTCCAGAGGGCGTGAGGGAGCAGGTGGTGGCAGCGGGGTCCAGGTTCCCGGGCAGCTGCACTTGCCGGTACACCTTCTGCTTCAGTTGGTAGCTGACCCCGCGGGGATCGTAGTGCTTCTCCTGCCGCTGGCCGGTCACCACCAGACTGCTCCCGTCCACCCACACCTGCAGCTCCTCCGGGGCGAAGCCGTGCGCGTCCATCTTCACCTGGAACCCCTGGGCATGGTCGGCGTCCCGCGCGCTCTCTGAGGTGTCCCTCAGCAGCCGCACCGACAGTGTGGTCCCCTGGTCTGGCTCTGGGAGCGCCGCGCTGGGGCCGGGGGCCTCCACTCCGCGGTCGTTGGAGACGCGGCTCCCGGTGCGCCGCATCCGAGGGGGCAACCGT